GGTTGTTTAAGATATAAAAACCTAGAAAGCTTATAGCTTCAGTGAACTCACAGGTGACTTTAACCAAGAAGAAAAGAGAGAGGCAATTGTTTAAATAAAACTTTATTGTATATATGCATTATGCATTCATGCACACTTCACATTTTAGGCCTTGGGTGAATTAATCCAGCATCATTTCTTCTTTGAGACCACCTACTAACTGCTTCCAAGTGAGTAGTCAGTTAAGCTAGTACCACAGCCTTTCTTATCAGGAAGACAGTACTTTTCTAAAGTATTTTTATTGGAGGCAAATATACCAGAGCCATCTCTGAAAAGCAAGAAAGAACTAGCTCTAGGGCAAAGCAGTGCAATGATAATACCCTCCAAATGAGAAAGGCTGGCAAACAAAGCCCAACATCTGGTTCTTTGGGAACTTCTGGAAGATTGACTAAATTTTTGGCCCTATCCTGGATAATGGTGGATTGTTGTGTTGACAGCTTGTAAATGATGATAATACAAACTCCTTAGCTTGGCATTTAAAACCCTTCACAATCTGGCTTCCATTTACCTTTACAGACTTATTTTGTATCACTCCCCTTCACGTATGCTGTGTTCCAGCCAAACTGCACAACTAATTTTTGCCTCCCATCTCCTGTCCCCATGCTTTTATACTGCCTGCCCTCCCTGTCTAGAATTCACCTACTCTTCATTCTTAGAATTTCTAGCTTCCTTTAAGGCTCTGCTCAAGTGCTGTGTCCTAATAGAAGTCTTTCCTAATTTCCCCCAGATGTAATTGCCTTTTTTTTTTCCTCAAGTGATCTCATAGATACTTATCTGCTCACATTTTGTATCCCTTAGTAGAATGTAAGGCCCTTGAGGGCAGGGACTTAAAAACAGTGTTAGATAACAGTTTTTATTCTAGAATCCCCTGTACCAAACTGAGTATTTTGCATATAGTAGGAGTTTAATTAGATCCTAGGTTTTATAATTGGCCGGGATTTTAGAGAACATGTAGTCCAACATCCTCATTTTACTTATGAGGAAACAGGCAAACAGAAATTGTGTGACTTGGCTAGGATCATACAGCTAGTAATTGTCCAAGGCCAGATTTAAACTCGAGTCTTCTTGACTCCAGGCAAATAATGTATATAAAGACTTTTTGGAATGCTTCTTGCTGGATTTTATTTAAGGTCTTATACATGAGGTTTTATATAAATATACACACACACATATACATATAAATTATATATACTATACAATGTACTATACATTATATATACATATACACACATATTTCATATGTGTTTATGTATGTGCAAATGTACACACACATATATACATATATCTTAAGTTGAGTATAATTTTCTCTTACGTGATTTTTAAAATTAGAAATCAATCACTTAAATCCAATGTACAAGTATAGTTACTCTTAATATGCTTGTTATAGGAAAAGGGCCCTGGTCATAAATCGGGGGTAAGAAATAAGAGAGGGGGGCAATACAATTGTTTGTCCTTGCCATGGTTGAAAGCAGCGAGTAGTAATGTAGAGTTCTGAGGAAGATTCTGTTCTCTTTCCATTAAGCCCAAGCCTAATGGGATCTCTAACCAAGGTTGGGTAATTGGGGATTAGACCCAAGGTTCTGAAATTTAGAGGAGCTTGTTGGTAGTACTTTCTATCCTTGACTATAGCACTTAGCAAGCATGATTAAAATAGAAATGAATGAATCAAAACACATTTTAAGTGCTTACTATGCCATGCTAATTAATAGGGATAAAGCTATCCAAATGACAACTTCATTCCCCCATTAGCTACCCCCTTCTCCGGTGAGTTTTTCCCTGGCATGATCCCAACTCATTTCCCCTTCCCATGACCTCCCTAGCATCAGACTTGTGGTATCCCAGAGTCTCCACCCCCTCAACTGAATTGAGGGTGTTTTGTGGGGTGTTACTTTCCTCTGGTACAAAAATTGCTAGTTACAGCTCTGGAGAAGGTCATTCACCAACAAGGCACAAGGACACCCAAGATTTGAAAACAAATCTGAAAGCACACACAGATACAAAATGTGTATCGTGTGGACCTGAAGCCAGTAGGCTTGGAGTGGTGCTCCTGCTCATGAAGAATGGAAACCACCAGCTCCTGGGAACCTCTCCCAGTTGGTTTGTCCTTTATAAAGGCTACAGCAGGTCATTGACGATAATATTACAACCTGAAGACTAACTATTATTACAGAAGTGAACCCCACCCCCATCCCTACCCCGTGAATTCTTAAGCTGCTTAGGAGTTTGGTAAGGGCTAAAAGTCAGCTTCCTTTGCTCCTGTCCCACTCCCTTCCTCCCTTTCCCCCTGGGCCTTGGCCACAACTCCTCCCATAAGTGGGTGGCCAATGGCCTCCTATATTTTAACTAACAGTGAAATCTAGATCTCTCTTCTAGATCTTGAAGCTTCAATAAAAATGACATCCTAGGGTAGGATGTATTTGTCTATCAGATAGCTAAGGGTATTCAGCCTAGATTGAATGTGCCTAATGTGGGCTTTTATCAGTGAGTAGAGTTTTGGGAGAAATTGTTATTAAGTCCCTACTGTATGCAAGGTATAATGTGCTGGGCTGTAGGAGAGATGTCCCCATGAAACTTATAATAATCTAGGAGGTGAACCAACACACACACACACACACACACACACACACACACACACAAATAGAATACAGGGGCCAAGAGAGATCTGAGGAGAAAAAGAATATTTCTGTCTGGGGGAGAACAGGAAAGGCTTTGTGGATAATAACCTTGTCAGTAAGTGGACAATGGATAGAGGGAATGTCTATGAAGACCTGAATTCAAATGTGGCCTGAGACACTAGCTGTATGACCCTGGGCAAGTCACTCAACCTCTGTTTGCCTCCATTTCCTCATCTGTAAAATGGGAGTAATAATGGTATCTGCCCCCTAGGATTGTTGTGAAGATCAAATAAGACAATAATTGTTAAAAAAAAAATACACTTAGCACAGTGCCTGGCACATAGTAGGTGATATGTGTGTGCATGTGTATGCTTATTTCCTTCCCCTTTCACATACTTGAGCAAAGTCTTGAAGTATGTGTGGAATTTCAATAGATACAGATTTAGAAGAAGTGTATTCCAGGCTTAGAGAATTTCTTTAAAAAATAAAACTCACAAAAAAGTTACATCTTTTGTTTTAATATCATAGTCACTTGTCAGATATCACTTTTTTTCCACCACTCTACCCCTCCAATTGAACCATTCCTTGTTAGAAAGATTTTTTTTTTTAGCAAAACCAAACATATAGAATAATCCTGTTTGATAGTGTCGACCGTATTTCACACTCATAGTTCCCCACCTTCCTGAGAGGATGGAGGTACACTCCTTCGACACCTATTATTTGGGACCAAGATGCTAATTATAGTAACTGGAGAGTTTATCTCCCTTTTAATGCTCTTTTCATGTACAATTTTGTAGTCACTGCAGAGCTCTTTCTGGCCTGGAGTTTG